AAGTAAGGAGAACAACCTAGACATGTAAATAAAAAAATGCAAAATAAAAAATGTATAAAAAAAACAATAATAATAATAACTTTATTTGTATAGCACCTTTCAAAACTACCATTACAAAGTGCAACAGCTGTAAGTAAAGATAAAATAAAAGGTAAAAGAACACATAACAGATCCAAACCCCCATTATCCAGGACTTTAAAACTATTCTCAAACCTGGAAGCTGCATTGTTTGGAGTTGTTGTGGCCCGATGCACTTAATGGGCCATAACTCATAAGGTCAGCGCTGTAGATACAGGGCAGAGGTCAGCGCTGTCTATTTGATTCATATAATTGTAACAATAATAATATTCAGCGAGCCTCGCCGTACTGCGCATTGGAGGTGAGGCTGTAGAACCAGTTTGGGGCTCCAACACAACAGAACAGAAGGAAGAATACAACTTGTCCAAATACAAAATAGGCAACTTGTTTTGTGTATGTGAGACTAGATGTTGAACTACAGATCTGTATTTAGAAAAAGGTTGATGATCTTCACTGACTGAACCAGACTAAAGGTTGAAACATTCCAGTCAAAGTGGCAACTGGGAGGCTTTCCTCTGTGTTCCTGTTGATGTTTGTTTCACCGAACCACCTGCTAACCTCTCTGCTTGGCCTCTTTCTGCCTCAGAGATGACGACGATATCAACGACGTGGCGTCCATGGCCGGCGTCAACCTTAATGAGGAAAACGCTCGTATCCTAGCGACCAGCTCGGAGCTTGTTGGCACTAAGATTCGCTCCTGTAAAGACGAGTCCTTCCTGCCGAGCGGCCTGCTGCACCGCCGCATCCTGGACACAGGTACCTGTCGCAGAACAGACTCACAGACATGTATGAGTAGGGTTGGGTACCGGTCACATTTGAACCGTTACCGGTACCTAGAATTAGGTACAACGGTACCCAACGGTACCTATTTTTGGTACATTATGCTCTCTCTGTAGTAAGAAAAAGGTAATTTAGGTTGTAAAAAGTCCAAACTTAGTTGTACTGACATATTTTGGTATCTAAGTTTGGTACCCTAAGTTTGCTCTGTCATATTTCGGTGAAGATTACTCTTTGGTTGGAGCAGATTGGATCCTATATAAATATATTTCTGCCCATTTTCAGTAAAAGCTCACTGAAAGTTTGAGTCTAAAATGAGTCCAAGAACAAACGTAGAGCCCAGAGGAGCTCCTAATATTATTTGTCAGTGAGTCTCCCATAAAGGGAACTGTACATGTGGACTGAGGTGGACTCTGAGGTGGACTCTGAGGTGGACTGTGATGTGGACTGTGATGTGGACTGAGGTGGACTGTGAGGTGGACTGTGAGGTGGACTGTGATGTGGACTGAGGTGGACTGTGAGGTGGACTGTGAGGTGGACTGTGGTAGACTGAGGTGACCTGTGATGTGACTGAGGTGGACTGTGATGTGGACTGAGGTAGACGGAGGTGGACTGTGATGTGGACTGACTGCAGTGACTGCAGGGAGATGTTCACTCTGTGGTTTCGTCCTCAGCTAAGAAGCTGGGAGTGACCGAGGTGCCACTTGAGGTGGTGAACTTCATCTCTCACGCCACCCAGTCCAGACTGCGCTCGCTGCTGGAGAAGGTTTCAGTCGTCGCTCAGCACCGCACGGACAGCGGGAAGGCAAGAAACACACACACACACACACACAGAAAGTGATCAGGATAAATGTATTGATCGGTTTATGAAAAGGTTTTCACTTTTATTAAAGTTACAGACTGCAGCTTTAAACTGTAGAACAGTTCCTTTAATCTCTGAATCTCAGATATTAAGAATAATTCAGAATTCCTGCTGCTGCTTTATGTTGTTGTTGTTGTTGTTGATGTTGTTGTTTGGTGGAAACATTAGTTCTACCCATCAGCCCCTCTGTGGACGGCCCTCAGAGTGAAAACACTGTAATCTGGATCAATAGTTCTGTTTATATATCAACACATTTACACCCCTTCCTCCTCCTCTCTTCTCCTCTTCCTCCTCTCTTCTCCTCCTCCTCTCTTCTCCTTTTTTCTCCTCCTCTCTTCTCCTCTTCCTCTTCCTCCTCCTCTGTCCTTCACCTCCTCATCCTCTCCTTCATCAGGATGAAGAGCACCATGAACCGACGTCAGACGTTCGCTCTCAGCTGCGTTTCTTCGAGCAGTTGGAGCGAATGGAGAAACAGAGGAAGGACGAGCAGGAGAGAGAGATCCTGCTAAAGGCTGCCAAGGTACGAACGCTAGATATAGTTTCTATCTTTAGTTTCTATCTATAGATATAAGCTATAGATATATCTATAGCTTATATCTCAGCTTTATTTTAACTTTCTTTCAGCTTTACTTTAATTTTATTTTAACTTGATCTCAGCTTTATTTCAACTTTATTTTAACTTTATTTTACCTTTATCTCAGCTTTATTTTAACTTTTATTTTTTTAACCTAACTTATTTGAACCTAACCCAGCTTTATTTTAACTATATCTCAGCTTGATTTCAACTTTATTTCAACTTTATTTTAACTTTATCTCAACTTTATCTCAGCTTTATCTCAACTTTATCTCAACTTTATTTTAACTTTATCTCTACTTTATTTCAACTTTATTTTAACTTTATCTCTACTTTATTTCAACTTTATTTCAACTTTATTTTAACTTTATTTTAACTTTATCTCAGCTTTATTTTAACTTTATCTCAACTTTATTTTAACTTTATCTCAACTTTATTTTAACTTTATCTCAGCTTTATTTTAACTTTATCTCTACTTTATTTCAACTTTATTTTAACTTTATCTCAACTTTATTTTAACTTTATTTTAACTTTATCTCAACTTTATTTTAACTATTTCAACGTTATTTCCGCTCACAGAGGCTGCACTTTATTCAGATAAAGTTCAATTTGGACAAACACAAACTTTATCATAAACAAACACAAACATTTTAATCAAGTTATAATAAATAAAATTAAATATAATGCTCACACTGATCCTCAATCACAATATCCGTCAAATATTGACAATATGATGTTTTTACTGTATCAGACAGCGAGTTTGAACTTTCATTTAGTTTAATCACCGTTGAACAGTTGATGTGCAGCATAAGCAGCCTGCAGTTGTTAATGAATCTACATTATCAGTTATTATTACATTTACTATATAGAACGAAGGACTTAAAGTACGACAGCAGTAATGTTTGTTAAATAATCCACACAATAGTGTGTTTCTGTACGTATTGTTTATATTAAACTGCTATCTATCAGGTTTTGGTTGAAAATGAAACTTTGAGCTCTCAGAGTCTTTAAAGGTCAAAGATCAAATCTGATCTGTTTGTTTCCAGAGTCGCGCCAGACAAGAAGATCCTGAACAGGCTCGCCTGAAGCAGAAAGCTAAAGAGGTAAAGAGCGTGTGTGTGTGTCAATATTTATTGATTAGAACTGAGGATGTCTCATATGGCACCACGAGTTTATCTGACCCCTCGGCGCTCTGGCCTCCTCCACAGATGCAGCAGCAGGAGTTGGCTCAGATGCGACAACGAGACGCCAACCTCACGGCCCTCGCCGCCATCGGGCCACGCAAGAAACGCAAGCTCGACTCGCCAGGAGGCGCCTCGGCCGGCACAGAGGTAGGAGATAGAAACAGGTCATAAACTACGGTTGTTACCATAAACTCAGCCATTAAGTAATTAATAACATCAGAACACACAGCTGATAATGATCCTGATCAGCCAGCATCAGTAATCAATACACTTAACAGACAGTTAATGAACAGCGTTATGAGTCAGTATCTGATCCACCAACCAGCTCTGATTTTACTGAGA